CTCCAAGAAATTCACTAAAAATCTCTAATCTTATCTTCAAACTAAATATGTTCTTAACAACACCCCACTCCTAACCCTCTTTATCATGGTAGGTTCCCCCTTTCCTTTTCTGCACCCCCAAAGCCACTCCATAAAGCTATAATCCAATTAAGTTTCTCCCAACTCTTCCCTGCAACAGAAGATGTACTGTGTTAGACCCAACATTTCCTACAGAAATTGATTTCCAACTTCAGACCTAAACTTCTCTACAACAAAAGATCGACTTTAGACCTTAACTTCCCTACAACAAAGAAATCACCCATTTCTAGCCTGATTTGCCCACAACAGATGATCACCTATTTATGACAAAACATCTTTTGATTCAGACCTAACCTTTTGATAAACCATGTTATCCAATACAGCGCGACATATGAAACTCTCAAATAAATCCATTTCAGTTACTACAGCTGGTTACCATGGTTTCATGAATATCCAGGTTATGTGAAAAAATCTTATTGCCTATTTATATTCTTACTTTTGTGCATTATAATTGGATAATCAATATCATCTCCTTACCAATTAACCCTTGTATAGTAATTAGTATCCTCAATTCCAGCCCAGTTCACCAGTGGCTAGAGGGCCGAGAGTTCTGTGTCGTGTGAGTTAGTTAGTACACCAATCTACAAGACAGTGTGTTAGTAACCATATGTCAATGTGTAGGTATTAATGGGTATTCTACCATGTACGCCATGTAACAACACTTTTCATTGGTTAATCATGTACCATTGAACAATAACACATGTGTTTGTGAACAACGTTACATGTATTCGGAGGAGGATTCATCAGTTTGGTATGAATAATAAAGGCTAAGTTTGTTTTGAACACAAACAGGAATTTTGCGAGCTTTCAAAAATGTCTGTTTCCTTTGCCTAGCATAGAGCAAAGGGTGCAAATGACCGGTCTCTTGACTATAAGCTGCTGAAAACAACTCACTACGCCACAGTGTGCAGAATCAGTAAAGCCAGCTGCCAAAAATCATAGAGACATTTCACCCAATTGTGCTCTTATGCTGCAGTCAGGCAGTCAGGGTGACGGGTAACATGTTTACCCATTCCGCCCCTTTGTTGATGTTAAAATGGGGTCATAAAGATGACTCAGCTGGTGGCCCCCTTCGTTTCTGTTCATCAAATCACCTTCCAAACTTAGCCCATAACAAGACATGTATTGCATGCATTATTTTCTTTCAAACCATGACCCAGCTATGCTCTTCCAAAAGCCTCTGTTGTGTTGCAAACGAAAATCAGTGAGTGGTGTGTGTCAGTTCTAGGATGCATGTGTACTGCTGGTGTATCTAAACAGGTCCACATACACCCATGTTAAAATCACTGGACCGGATCATTGGCTGCAGCCTAATGTTGACATCCACCGTGTGTCGCTTGTTTGCAAACTGAAAACGACGCATTGCATGGCAAATGTGTACAAAAGAACACATTCTAATTTACATTTACAATTATATTTTCATGTGGTGCGAATAGATTTGATCAACATTCGCTTGTATATTATGTTGTGATATATCATTGGTGGTTAACAAATGTTGGAAAAAATATTAAGTCGATAAGGAAGAAGAGGCCTTGATTGATTATTTTTTTCATACAATTTTTTACCTCTGTTAAATATTCCACCAAAATATACTCAAATATGTTGATTATTTCTTAAATATCACCTGCCAAGTCATTCATGCAGGAGACAATGTAATATAATATAGCACTAAAACAGATCCCAATACAGGCAACAAAATATGTACTTATTTAGTCCATCTAGAGGCCACAAAATGTATTTTACAGAGCTACAATGTATACTGCTTGCCTTATGTCCAGCACTGCTTTAAAGAATCCTTTACACAACACAATAACAAACAAAAGAGATAGTAGAATATTATACCAGGGTTGCCTGTGGCTGCATATGACCTCCTTTGAGCCCAAGAAGCGGTAACTAGGACTTGTGTGTCATTAGTTGGCCTGGCACGAGTAACATCTCACGGACACCAGATTGGAGCATTAGTGACATGCCAGGGGTTTTGAATGATAATTAACAAAGCTAAATAAGGTTTTAACGTCATCGTAAGCTATAGAACTGAGAGGGATCTGTTTGGAACAGGATTCTATATTGTATCACCCAATTTTTATCAGAGATCTGTGCCGTTAACAAAACATGTACACTATTACAACAAGAGATCCCACTCAGTCAACAATCCATGTTCTTAAAAATTATTACAGATCTACAATATATAGCTTGGACAACAATGAAATAAACCATGTCCCGTGCTGCTTTAAAGAATCCTTTATGCAACAGAATAACAAACAAATGAGATAAAACACTGAAGATTTGTATTCAAGTTAGCAAAATATAGGGTTGTGTGCGGCTGCATTTGACCTCCTTTGAGCCTGAGGAGTGACCGCTAAGACTGGTGTTGCTGGAGTAACAAATCTCGGACACCAGACAGAAACAGCTGACTGGCCAGTGGCTATGGATTACCAGGCCGCATAGGACCTGACAGTCATACAGACTTGACAACCATAGGCTTCCAAACTGAGGGTGACCTAGCTGTTTTGAACAGGGTTTCTATCTTGTTTCTCCCTATTCTTATCAGGGGTCTGTGTCTTTAACATGATGGGGGAGGGTGACCTATTTTGGATCAGAATTACCAGTTTTACCTCATCCAGTGCCAAAACAGTTTCATGCCTCAGTCGACACCAGTTTAACTCATTCATCCCTAAAGACATATTTGGACTCTTCCAATTCAAAGGTTGGAATAGTTCATTATAAAGTTTCAGGGGTGAATGAGTTCAGCATAAACACATTGCATTCTCTTCTTTCAGTTAGCACATCATGACTTATTCAGGGGATATTATGAAACAATACAGCACCATGAAGCCATTTGCATATTGGTTACCATTAGTGTTGATGTATTGTGCAATTGGCCCAAAGTTTGTCACAACCGCTGCAGGCAACCAGGAGACGTAAAACAACAACGTGGGACGATCGCGATAACAATGAGTTGATAATTGTGACTTGACTGGACGCTTGAGAATATTTTAGGACATTGAGCTGCTTTTTCCTGTGTTGGAGCTAATGGAGGCAATTTGTTGGATAATAGACAGTATTTTTAAATTAAAGGTCAAAGTCATATGACTGATTGATTTGGTACATTAGTTCTCTAATGGTTCGCCATATCTATCTTTGGCTTTCAATTACATATGTTGCTATAATTCTTAAATTAAGTTTTTAAATCTCTAAGGTTAAAACAGTGCAATGGTTCCAGATCTTTGATGTTTGAAACTCATTCTTTATTTCCTAATTCAGAATAAAGTAAAAGCGTGTTATACTGTCAACAATTGTCCAGAGAAATTTTGTCGTTATATATAAGGGGTTTGGCAACAAAATGAAGGACATTTTTAAAGGATTTCATAAGAAAATGAGAAAAGAGGACATTGAACTAAGTTGGCAGTTAACGAGGTGGCAATCAAACGAGGGTCATTATATCGAGGTTTTACTGTAGTATAGGTACATGTCCATGTTGGCCAATTGTATCTTTCAGAAATTATACCATTCAAAGTTTGATAAAATTTCCAACTACAGCTGAAACTAGAACTGTAAGCCAAAAGCTAACATATACCCCACGCTCCTATATATACCAGAACTGTAAGCTGAAGGCTTACTAAGGCAAAGCATTACAAAGCGATTCATAGTCTCCAACCAGTAATGATTACTTTATTGACTGAGCTGTACACTTATTTAAGTATATAGGTGACTGACATACTTCCTGTACTCTCTCCTAATGCCAAAACATACTTGCAAACCAAATCTTGTGAGTCCGGATGAACGAGTTTTGCTGAAATCATCGTAGTTGTTAAGGAAGAGATGTCAGGACAATTTTTTTAACAAAGAGCTATATAACTTCTTGAAAAGGGTCAAAATGAAAAAAATACTACCCTAATGCACGACAACAGGGGGTAATTACCATATCTGTAAACTTTCATTGAAATCGGCACAGTAGTTTAGTAGGAAGACAAAGTTTTTCAAGAAAGGCCCATAACTCCTTTTAAAAGGGTCAGAATGAAAAAGTGCTACTTGGATGCACAACATCAGAGGGCAGTTACCATATCTGTAAACCTTCTTTGAAATTGGCCCAGTAGATTAGGAGAAGTTGTCAGGAAAAGGATTTTTCAACAAAGGACAATAACTCCATAAAAAAAAGAGTTGGAAAAAATAATTCCTGGATGTACAACATCAGGGGGTAGTTATCATATCTGAAAACTTCTGTTGTACTTGTCACATAGTCTTGGAGGAGTTGTCTGGAGAAGTGTTTTTCAACAAAGTGCCATTTCACCGTAAAAAAAAAGGTAAGAATGAAAAAAATAATATCGGGATGCTCAACATAAGGTGATAGTTATAATATCTGAAAAAATTGGCCCAGTAGTTTTGGAAAAGTTGTGCAAGCAAACATTTTTCAACAAAGGGCAATCACTCTGTAAAAAAGGTCAGAATGGAAAACTAATACCTGGATGCACAACTTCAGGTGGTAGTTATCATACCTGGAAAGTTTTGTTGAAATTGGTCCATTCAGAAGAAGTTGTCCGGACCAACTTTTTTAATGGACGGACGGAAAGCTTATTCCAGTATACCCCTCCCTTCATTATTGGGGTCATACAAATTCATTGAAGCAGAGATACTAAAATTCCCGAAATTTGTGTGACACTTCACTTTTTACTATTTGAAGATTTGGTGCAGATATATTTTTGGTTAATGCTGATGAACATTTGTATTACCCTTTATCACAGACTGAGACTAAAGGCATTAATTCATCAATCATACACATTTTCCATTGTGTGCAATTTTCTCCATTATTGTCTGTATGGCTATCCAAATGACAGACTAGTTTTTCACATACAGTTGATGCCTAACATTGATCATGTATCCCCCTTCTCCTGTCCAAGCCAACTGCTATTTATCCCTCCTACCATCCAAGAGGAGAAACAGAAAGCTTTACCTTGTAGCTGAGATACTGGACAAGAATGGTCTCCACCAGGCTGATTCCAGCAACTGTCACCTGGATAATCCACAGTTCACTGGACCTATTAACCCACAGAATCCTGTTCCTGAAGAGTCAACAAAGGGAAGTAATTATAAGTCAAGGGGCCACCATCAACTAATCAAAAATAATGCTAAAACAGTCTCATCATAGTATTAAACTTTACAAAATTTGCTGTAAGTCAGGGTTAGATTGAGTAACTCTTCAACAAAAGGATACACATATTATAATTTGATGACAGATGCAAATCACAAATCAATATTCAACTCCCCAAAGATTTCATTTTGATGAGTTAAAGAGCTGCAACCTACTGAGGTCAAACCTGAATAAAGAGACCATCTTTGAGAAATCCTAAAATTGGTCTTTCAACACAGATAGTCACTTAACACAGGTTCAGTTAACAGAGAAATCACTACAATGTGGACCTTAAAAGTGATCTCTAAACACAGGTAGTCTCTTAACGGAGGTGATCTCTTAACGCAGGTGATCTCTAAACTCTTTCTGTACCGTTGTCGTGTACACACGACAACAATATGTCATCCTGGTCCCCGTTGTCGTGTACAGACGACAAAATATTAGGCTGTCTCATCCCCGTTGTCGACAACAGACTTTGGTTCGACAACAGACTTTGGTGTAACTTGTCTTATGTTTAGCTGGTTATTGCACACGACAATCGCGTAATACAATCATTTGTGGCTAAAATCAGCACCCATCAGTTGAAAAGAAATCATTTTATAGGTGCAGAGTACACAATTTATATTTTGTGACCTGTTGTTTTCAAATCTGCCGCAAGATGTTTGTGTTTGGTGATTCAAAAATAAACAATATGGCGGCAACTTAATTCGATATGAAGTTGAACACTCGTAAATTCATCACCAAATATTTATTTAGACTTATGGAAGAAAACATGAATATGTTAATGAAGTCTTAATGAAATCTACTTGTAATTAGAGAAAAAAAAATAACGACTTCGTATTCGTAAACAATAATTAATCCCTATTAGGAACCGCCACTACAACGCTGTTTTGAAAACAAGGTTTCGTATAGTTTGTTGTCGAACAGATGTCGATTAAACAACAACATGAAACAATAACACTATTAAATTTGTTCACGGTTACCTGTTTAATTCTTGCAGCAATTACACCTCCTCTAAAAAGAACATTAATAATCTGCCATTTTGTTATTTGCGCGGGGGCGAATGTAGTAAGGACATCCGGTACGGAATCCGAACCGGATTTGCGGTACGCAAAGAGTTAATGGAGGCAATCTCTTAACGAAGGTGGTCTCTTAACACAGGTGGTCTCTTAATGGAGGTGATCCCTAAGCATAGGTGGTCTTTTAATGGAGGTGGTCCCTGAACACAGGTGGTCTTTTAATGGAGGTGATCTCTAAACACAGGTGGCCTTTTAATAGAGGTGATCTCTAAACACAGGTGGTCTCTTAATGGAGGTGGTCTCTAAACACAGGTGGTCTCTTAATGGAGGTGGTCTCTAAACACAGATGGTCTCTTAATGGAGGTGGTCTCTAAACACAGGTGGTCTCTTAATGGAGGTGGTTGCATGAGCAGGTTTGACTATACTTGATGATGATCAATTTCATTTGTTACACCTCAAGTGAATTTCTAGCAATTTGATTGGTTGGGAGAAAATTAATCAAAAATCTCTGTCACACTCCGAAAATACATTGGTTTTACAGGGTGCGGGTGACATTGCCATGAGACAGTGAAAAATATCACATGCGCAAAAAATGTGCGTTCACCGTTCATCTTCGATACGGGGCCCTAACAAGATGTCATTATCGAGGTTTGCTGCCGTTTCTGAGCTACAAAGACTTTTGGTGTAACAAAATAGATATGACATTCATTAGCAGGTGACAGTGAATATTGTCAACCCGAGAAAACCATTGTCACCCGAGGCGAAGCCAAGGGTGACAATGGGTTTTTGATTCACCTGCTAGTGAATGTCATATTTATATATTATCTCACTCGAAGGATGAAATGTCATAACAAATCCTAATAGAGGCGCTAGCAGATCTAGAGATCGTGAAATCACAGTAGATCACCCTGCTGATACTGTGGTAGAAATCAATGAAGATCATTGTAACTGATATATTTTATTACCTGATTTTTAACAGGCTTGAAGAGATACGTGTATTTTATGAGTTAAATATTGATCAATATAAATAATATAAAACTTCTCCTTCACTATGGAATTTATGAAGGTTTTCAGTACCCTGTATTCAAACTTCCTTATATCATTGACTTTATCCTTACACATCCTTATCCATGTCAATAGAACACAAACATGTAGGCAGACACTCTAAAAACAAGAGGCCTTATGGGCCTGTATTGCTTATCTGTTATCAATGCTATTGGCCAATACATCTTTCATCTGTGACTTTGAGAGAAGTTGAAGTTCAAATTTCTTAAAACAAATTTGATTGATTATGGAGCTAAAGAAGTTAAAGAATTTAAGGATAAATTTGATTGATTATGGAGCTAAAGAATGTCTGAGAAAGGATTATATATGCGAGTCCATCCATTTATATATGATATAGACAAAGATATGGCACCATAAATTAGTACAATGTACAAGCTAAATACCTGCAGAAATCATTTTCAGACTGCTCAGAATTAATTTACAAGCTGAATTTCTTACAGGATTCACCAAATATAAAACTCAATACAGGCACTCTCCATGAGGGGGAAACCCCTTCATTACCAATCTAAATACCTTACAACCCATAACATCAAAATACACAACAATGAAACGGAATGAAATCAACTGCTGAAGTAGTCATTAACATATAAATCGAACAGATGTCTATAAATAAATCAGCAAATTGTACGGCTCAGCAGAAGACAGACTAGCTCTAACAACCCCAATGTCAAATGTAAAGCCGTTCCATGGACTGTTGTACCAGATATGACAAGCTCTATCTGTATAGGGAGGTTATAAGTATGCAGTAAAAAGACTTTCTTAAAGTACAAATTTCTTTCTAAACAAATTACCAGTTGATATGAGGGTTTTCCTGGAAACGATCAGCATCAACCGGGGTCCAACAGTCGTCCGTATCCACGATTGTTCCATTGGGGAATTGTTGGCTGGAAATATAACATAGCCAATATCAATACAGATAATTATGAGCATGAAAAAAATCTTTATTCTTTACACTAGTACTGTAAATGCACATTTTTAGTTGTGTTTTAACATTTGCACTTTTCACACTTTACGTTTAACGATCGAAATTGACGAGTGTGCAACTCACAGTCGACGCATAATTGCGTACAAGTAAACATGAACATCTGATAAAGCAGCTGAACAGTAGTTCTCATCAACCGGGGCACTTAACAAACTCTCCGGGGAACTGTCAAATGTGGCATTAAAATATGTTTTCTATTCAATATATAATTTGGGTTGGGTGCGCTAATTCACGAGTGTATTAATCTGTTAAAATTTGATAATACACAACAAATTTAACACTAAAATAAGCATGTTTACAGTAAGTGAAACAGATACATATATTCCAATGCTTTCTATCATTTAATTATTCAAATTTCACAATACGATGCTGTAAGAAATTTCATTCACATTCGTAAAGGATACATGCACAGACATTACAACTCTCATTTTAATTTATAATAATCAATTAGTGTCCCAACACATCAGAATACATATGTGGCAGACATCACAATATACCAACAGTTCATGGCCTGTAGCTCAGGATTATTTGAGATAATGTTGTTTTTTGACCCCTTTGAACTGAAAAGTACATCAAGTACATAAATGATAATTTATTTGAGTTGACTTAATTTATAGCACTTCACCCTGAGGTAACTACTGGTCAAATATCATCACTTAATGCATGCTTTTTAATTATTTGGAAAAAGATTTTAAAAACATTTTAGTCATAATAGGCTATGTTAACCTTTGACCCCTGCCAGCCCTAAATATAAAGACTCTTGAAGAGTTGACCTTTGAACTTAATTTGACACATTAGAAAATTGCTGGTTTGCATATTATATTATTAAAGTTAATTATCATGGTTCTGTATATGTGCTGTGGCAGGAACATAAACCAGTTTATATCTGACCCCAGGATAACAATAACATCCCTGAATCATTTCCTGGTACAGACACAGGACAATGTCATAAATCACCACATGCACTGTTGCCATAGCCACAAAGTCGTCAGAATCACAATCTCAAATTACCATATCATTTACCCAGAGAACAATATACATTTTTTTTGTATTGGTGCCACTCCCCATACATCAATAAAGCTGCCACTCTGTACTACCTGTTGTTGCATGGAAAACTGTCTAGAATAGTGACTTCAGCATACCTGGTAACTAGTATTGGAAATTGGATATATATGATATGTACATCAATATTTCTAGCCTCAGAAACAAAGTTTTAATTAATATAAAGTCCTTCGTTATTGCATGTAAATATGTAGAGTCAAACATGTATTAATTCATTCACCCCTGAAATGTCATAATGAACTATTCCAACCTTTGAATTGGAAGAGTTCAAAAGTGTTTTCAGTGGTGAATGAGTTAATAGATTTAAGCCATCCTCAGGAAATCCAAAAAGTGGTCTCCTACGACGGGTGGTCTTTCATTACAGGTTCTTGAGAGATACTTACCGATGGTTTGAGCTCAAAAAATGCAGAGAAAAAATCAAAATGTTCTAAATTTTCAACAAAATCAGGTAGTTCTATAATATTTAATAGGATTTAATAGGATATTAGGATATCAATATAATTTGAAATACATTGTGGTAAACATAACATGTGTTGCAATATGTGCTTCACAGAAAACATGGCATGTGACAAATATTGCAAACCGACAAGGTCATTTACAAATCGTGTATATGAATGTGATAAACAGCAATTGGTTATGACAATTTGAGATACATGAAGCTTGTCAAATGTGTTTTGTGATTCTAATTGTGGCCCTGTCGTCCCTGAGGCTAGACTACAGGAGTGAGTCCCGACATGGGCAGGGTGTGTCACTTTCCTCAGCTGTGTTCCCAAAAGCGTTCATTAGGAAAACAGATTCTCATCACCATTTAGACATGGAAATTGCTGATAATGATCAAGACAGACTTTTTGCTAAAATCAATATGTATATGCCAGCATTGACGCCTAACAGCATTTATAGCATTTATAAAGGCTTCTGATCTTAATATAAACAACATGGTAATATATATACTTGATTCTACCCTGATATCTCTGACATACTTATTGAATTTTTTCAACCTGATTTCTATGAACTCTGTATATAAGTTGTTCTTTTTAGAGGGGGGGGGNCAGTGGTTAAGGGGTCTTGCATTCTGCTACCACTAGCCCTCTACCACCGGGTCGCAGTTCCAGGCTTACGTGGGGCTGTCGATCACCGTGAGGAACTGGTTCTTGGTTGGTGGTTTTTCTCCGGGAACTCCGACTTTCCTCCACCACCAAAATCTGGCACATCCTTAAATGACCATAGCTGTTGCTAGGATGTAAAACACAAACAAACCTGACCAAGTTCTTGTAGATCATTGAAGCTGTGTTAAGGATCCTCTTACAACTATCAGAAACTATATAACCATACATCGTTGGTATTTTTTTAAGGATGACTAGCTTTCATGAATCATTTTTGAAAAGAAAATCTTATCATGTAGATCTTTTATGAAAAAATAATACATACATGGATAACATACAGAAAAAAATCACCAATTAGTGTTAAAAGTGTGAAAACACTATAAGGCCAGACCAGGATTCAATCCCTGGACCCCTGATTTGTTTATATTACTGGCCGTCTTACTAACTAAACTACCTGGTCAAAGGTTGTTGTCTGGCCCAGTCAAGCTAAAATGCAAGTGGAACTCTCTAGTGTTTTGCTTGCAGAAGGACAGAGTCCCTTAAGTAGTTTCAAGAGTACATAAAGCCTTAATATAAACAGCTAAAGCTCAGACCTTCCAAAGACCAGTGCAACAAGTTTACATCCATTTACGTGGGTAATACAAGCAAATTAATTCCATACAGATGAAGTGATTGAACATATTTTCTAAATATGGTTTCTGGAAACACTTGATCGAGGAAAACGCTGTAAAAGGAAGCCATCGAAAATGTGTGGTATTTGAGGAAAGGTCACTAAATGTAAAGGGTAAGGCTTATATGGGAATTCTTGGCTATTAACACAAGTTTATAGCTATTGAAATGCCATTTCCCAAAGGACTTCTGATAAAACAGTGGGTTCCCTGGAATTAAAACACTGCCAAATCCATATCTATGATCATTACCATGACACAGCAACCAGGAAGGCAGATTAAAAATGAAAGGTCATGGAAATGTCCAAAAACAACAGAACGATGGCCGCCTCGTACAGTTACCATTACTGTTCTTATCTTTGGTGCTAAGATAGCTAGATCACTGTAGACCTTTAGATTTTTCATTTTCATTATGTAATAGGGAGTAGAAATGGAAAGACCGCAAGGTTGTACTACTGGAATCAAACCAGCGACCATAGACTTTTTAGTTTGGTTTGGTTTAATTTTGTTTAACGTCCTATTAACAACTAAGGTCGTTAAAGGATGTGCCTCCATGTGTGTAGTGTATGCGTGCTTGCGTGTGTGTATGCAGGACATGTGGTATGTTGGTGATCTTGCCTCCTTGTGATAGCGTGGATCTGATGCCGACTTTATAGTGCTATCTCACTGAAATACCATGTCGAATGCACACAGCACAGCATTCCACCCGGTCACATTATACTGACAACGGGTGAACCAGTTGTTGCCATTATCCTAAATGCTGAATGTTAATTAAGCTGGGAATAATAACTACCATTTTCAAGGACTTTGGTATGTCCTGGCCTGGGGACAGATTCCATTGCCTTCCTCACCTGGGTGAATGCTCAACATTAAGGCCAAAAGTGAGGTGTTGCCAAGCAAGGGGCTAGGAAATAAAAGGTAGTGAGAAGTAGAAAGAAAGATAAAGATCCCAAATAATGCAATGGGCGCAGCAGATTTATGTTGGTCGCTTTTATGTCCCCAAATAGAGGACACCAAAGCAAATACCCAATTATGCAGGGGTTCCCACATTAGTCACCTCCTAGGATACATGCAGTGGGTAACAGCAGGTGTATTCTTTTCCCAATCCCCCACCTGCAGAGGTGAGACTGTCTAATCAGACACTTAGCTAAATGGAAATTCTCCCTTACCAAAGCTGGTAGTTAAGGTGTCTTTAACATCATATACTAGCGGTCGGTTACAATTATAGATATTTATGTATGTGGAAAAGAAACTTTAGTTCATGTCAAAGGCAGAGAAAAGCAGAAGCTTACTGTGTCCTATTAAAACACAATGTCGCTGTCTTTCTACAAAGGCGTTTACAAGAACATTACTCTGTAGGGCATAAAGGTATCCAACCAAGTGGAGAGTTAGACAACAACAATGATTTCCATATATTACATCAAGGTAGAGAACTGATGCATTAAACTGCTTTCAGTTGACATTCATAGACAGTATGAATGCCAACCTGAAATTGTGAAAATTTAGCCTTAAGTACTTGCAGTTGGCATTCGTATTGACTATGAATGCCAAATGAAAGCTGTTAGATAAAAGTGCTTTGGGTATCATTTAAGGAATTTTATTTCAATCCCAAAGAAAAACTTAACTTTTTTAACAAAATTCAGCATTGAGCTCAAATGAAAAGTATTGTATTTTCTTGCTAAATGGATGAAACTAACTTTCAAGGGAGGGTCAGTTGATCCAACATTATAATTATGACATCCTAAAAATGATGACATCAGTTAAGGCATAAACTACCCTAAAAATGTAGATTGTACATTGTTAGGTTATAGATACTTACCAGTGAGACAGACCGTCCATGGAAACCTTTACTAAGTAGAGGGTAAACTACCCTAAAAATGTAGATTGTACATTGTTAGGTTATAGATACTTCCCAGTGAGACAGTCCGTCCATAGAAACCCTTTCTATGTAGAGGGCATATGTTAGGTTATAAATCCTCACCAGTGAGACAGACCGTCCATGGACACCCTTACGATGTAGAGGGCACATGTTAGGATATAGATTCTTACCAGAGAGACAGGCCGTCCATGGAAACCCTTACTATGTTGAGGGCAAATGTTAGGTTATAGATACTTACCAGAGAGACAGGCTGTCCATGGAAACCCTTACTATGCTGAGGGCACATGTTAGGTTATAGATGCTTACCAGAGAGACAGGCCGTCCATGGAAACCCTTACTATGTTGAAGGCACATACTAGGTTATAGATACTTACCAGTGAGGCAGACCGTTCATGGAAACCCTTACTATGTTGAGGGCAAATGTTAGGTTATAGATACTTACCAGCGAGACAGACTGTCCATGGAAACCCTTACTATGTGGAGGGCACATGTTAGGTTATAGATTCTTACCCGAGAGACAGGCTGTCCATAGAAACCCTTACTAAGAAGAGGGCACATGTTAGGTTATAGATCCTTACCAGAGAGACAGGCTGTCCATGGAAACCCTTACCATGTAGAGGGCACATGTTAGGTTATAGAAACTTACCAGTGAGGCAGACCGTTCATGGAAACCCTTACTATGTTGAGGGCAAATGTTAGGTTATAGATACTTACCAGTGGGACAGACTGTCCATGGAAACCCTTACTTTGTAGAGAGCACATGTTAGGTTATAGATACTCACCAGAGAGACAGACCGTCCATGGAAACCCTTACTATGTAGGGGGCACATGTTAGGTTATAGATTCTCACCAGTGAGACAGACCGTCCATGGAAACCTTTACTAAGTAGAGGGCACATGTTAGTTTATAGATACTTACCAGTGAGACAGGCCGTCCATAGAAACCCTTACTAAGTAGAGGGCACATGTTAGGTTATAGATTCTTACCCGAGAGACAGGCTGTCCATAGAAACCCTTACTGAGTAGAGGGCACATGTTAGGTTATAGAAACTTACCAGTGAGGCAGACCGTTCATGGAAACCCTTACTATGTTGAGGGCACATGTTAGGTTATAGATACTTACAAGTGAGACAGACCGTCCATAGAAACCCTTTCTATGTAGAGGGCATATGTTAGGTTATACATACTCACCAGTGAGACAGACCGTCCATGGAAACCTTTACTAAGTAGAGGGCACATGTTAGTTTATAGATACTTACCAGTGAGACAGCCCGTCCATGGAAACCCTTCCTATGTTGAGGGCACATGTTAGGTTATAGATGCTTACCAGAGAGACAGGCTGTCCCTGGAAACCCTTACTATGTAGAGGGCAAATGTTAGGTTATAGATACTCTCCAGTGAGACAGGCCGTCCATGGAAACCCTTACTATGTTGAAGGCACATGTTAGGTTATAGATACTTACCGGTGAGACAGACTGTCCATGGAAACCCTTACTTTGTAGAGAGCACATGTTAGGTTATAGATACTCACCAGTGAGACATGCCATGCTGTCCATGGAAATCCTTACTATGTTGAGGGCACATGCTAGGTTATAGATTATATACTCACCAGTGAGATATGCTGTCCATGGAAACCCTTACTATGGAGAGGGCACTATAATTATGACATCCTAAAAATGATGACATCAGATAAGGCATAAACTACCCTAAAAATGTAGATTGTACATTGTTAGGTTATAGATACTTACCAGTGAGATAGGCTGTCCATGGAAACCCTTACTATGCTGAGGGCACATGTTAGGTTATAGATGCTTACCAGAGAGACAGGCTGTCCATGGAAACCCTTAATATGTAGAGGGCACATATTAGATTATAGATACTTACCAGAGAGACAGACCGTCCATGGAAACCCTTACTATGTAGAGGGCAAATGTGAGGTTATAGGTACTCACCAGTGAGACAGGCTGTCCATGGAACCCCTTACTATGTAGAGGGCACATGTTAGTTTATAGATACTTACCAGTGAGACAGGCTGTCCATGGAACCCCTTACTATGTAGAGGGCACATGTAAGGTTATAGATTCTTACCAGAGATACAGGCTGTCCATAGAAACCCTTACTGAGTAGAGGGCACATGTTAGGTTATAGAAACTTACCAGTGAGGCAGACCGTTCATGGAAACCCTTACTATGTAGAGGTCACTATAATTATGACATCCTAAAAATGATGACATCAGATAAGGCATAAACTACCCTAAAAATGTACATTGTACATTGTTAGGTTATAGATACTTACCAGTGGGACAGACTGTCCATGGAAACCCTTACTATGGAGAGGGCACTATAATTATGACATCCTAAAAATGATGACATCAGATAAGGCATAAACTACCCTAAAAATGTAGTTTGTACATTGTTAGGTTATAGATACTTCCCAGTGAGACAGACCGTCCATGGAAACCCTTTCTATGTTGAGGGCACATGTTAGGTTATAGATAATCACCAGTGAGACAGACTGTCCATGGAACCCCTTACTATGTAGAGGGCACATGTTAAGTTATAGATTCTTACAAGTGAGACAGGCCTTCAATGGAAACCCTTACTATGTAGAGGTCACTATAATTATGACATCCTAAAAATGATGACATCAGATAAGGCATAAACTACCCTAAAAATGTAGTTTGTACATTGTTAGGTTATAGATACTTACCAGTGGGACAGACTGTCCATGGAAACCCTTACTAAGTAGAGGGCACATGTGAGGTTATAGATACTTACCAGTGAGATAGGCTGTCCATGGAAACCCTTACTATGTTGAAGGCACATACTAGGTTATAGATACTTACCAGTGAGACCTGCCATGCTGTCCATGGAAACCCTTACTATGCTGAGGGCACATGTTAGGTTATAGATACTTACCAGTGAGACAGACCGTCCATAGAAACCCTTTCTATGTAGAGGGCATATGTTAGGTTATAAATACTCACCAGTGAGACAGACCGTCCATGGAAACCCTTACGATGTAGAGGGCACATGTTAGCAGCTTGATCACAAGGTTGAATATTCGTATCCGTAAACCTGTTGAGGACAGAAATACACAAGTACATTACAGAGCGTCAAATACCAGGGTAAATTATTCAGTAGATTGAAGAAAGCCAATAAGTTTTCATGTGTTACAAGCTAAGCCTGATTGATGACTAACCATTAAAAGCCTCCTAATTGTTATGCTTATTTTACTTGTCAAGTCGCTCATTGCAGTGATTATCATTGCCCTTTCCCCCTCCGCATTTTTTCCTTTGGTACATGAGCCTTTTTGAAAAGATATTTTTCATCTATACACTGTAATGTAACACACTTTTAAAACTATTGCTTCACAAAATCAAACAAAGGATTTATTATACATGTTTATGGCCAATGTGCACCGCTGCATTGCCATTCAGTGCAAATTTAAAACACTGAGGATGTTCTGTTGCAAACTTTACGCATGTCAATTCAAACAGTCCTATTTTCTAGAAATACTGCATCCTTTATGTCGTAATTTGCTTTTTAGCATTCAACAATTTGTGAGCCATTGGCTGGCAGCCATTTGCATTCATGAGAAATGGCAAATGGACACACAGAATGTACTGCATGCTCTAAAGTACATTTGTTATCTAACACTAAAGTACAATTTTAATTGGACGCTTAAAGAAATCTGAACATCAAAACACACTAAAATGGATGTTTCTAAATGCCACGTAGAGATAGAGAACACTAATTCACCTCAAGCAAAACAAGCAAAGTGTTACATCACATCAATATTTCATAAAGACCTTTCTTACGGTTTGGATAATTTCTACAGAATCAGCATATTAATGGTAAGAATATAAATCAAATCAGTTTGAACATCAAGCCAGTATTTTTTTTTACGTTATGATAACCGTATCCTTCAGGAAATATCATCTTTTGTATATCTAAAGGTCAATTGCAAGATGCTTACAGAGTTTCTGTATTATAAATTTTAACAACTTTCTTGAAATGCCAGAGTAACCTAGCTATTGTAAGTATGACAGCTGTGAAATAGGAAGATTTGAAGACAGTGTGTTATATAATTAGAAATGGTAATCGTGAGAACAGAATTAAATAGATGTCAGATGAAAGTGAAAGAACTGAAGACAGAGTGTTGAGAACAAAGAGTTATTGTGAAACAAAATATGAATGGTGGTGTGGTTGATGAAAGGACAGGAAGCTAACTGGTCGGTCATCTAAAGAGGAATGGAGATCTGGTCAATTAGTGATAATTGAAGGTACAGGCTGGAGCCCTGGGAACCTCTATTGACCACCCGATGGCTGTCCATCTACAGTTGACCAATAGAAATGTTAGTTAACTAATTTGCATATAAGTCACTTCTTAGTTTTTAGTATAAGTGAGAGATCCAGAAAGATAGTGGGAGAAGGCAGACTGAGAGAGGGAGAAGGCAGACTGAGAGAGGGAGGAGGCAGACTGAGAGAGGGAGAAGGCAGACTGAGAGAGGGAGCAGGCAGACTGAGAGAGGGAGAAGGCAGACTGAGCGAGGGAGAAGGCAGACTGAAAGAGGGAGAAGGCAGACTGAGAGTGGGAGAAGGCAGACTGAAAGAGGGAGAAGGCAGACTGAGCGAGGGAGAAGGCAGACTGAAAGAGGGAGAAGGCAAACTGAGAGAAGGAGAAGGCAGACAGAGAGAGGGAGAAGGCAGAGTGAGAGAGGGAGAAGGCAGACTGAGAGAGGGAGCAGGCAGACTGAGAGAGGGAGAAGGCAGACTGAGCGAGGGAGAAGGCAGACTGAAAGAGGGAGAAGGCAAACTGAGAGAAGGAGAAGGCAGACAGAGAGAGGGAGAAGGCAGAGTGAGAGAGGGAGAAGGCAGACTGAAAGAGGGAGAGGCAGGCTGAAAGAGGGAGAAGGCAGACTGAGAGAGGGAGAAGGTAGACTGAAAGAGGGAGAAGGCAAACTGAGAGAGGGAGAAGGCAGACTGAGGGAGAAAGAAGGCAGACTGAGAGAGGGAGAAGGCAGACTGTGAGAGGGAGAAGGCAGACTGAGAGAGGGAGAAGGCAAACTGAGGTACAGAGAAGGCAGACTGAGAGAGGGATAAGGCAGACTGAGAGAGGGAGAAGGCAGACTGAGAGTGGGAGAAGGCAGACTGAAAGAGGGAGAAGGCAGACTGAAAGAGGGAGAAGGCAAACTGAGAGAGGGAGAAGGCAGACTGAGGGAGAAAGAAGGCAGACTGAGAGAGGGAGAAGGCAGACTGGGAGAGGGAGAAGGCAGACTGAAAGAGGGAGAAGGCAAACTGAGAGAAGGAGAAGGCAGACAGAGAGAGGGAGAAGGCAGACTGAAAGAGGGAGAGGCAGGCTGAAAGAGGGAGAAGGCAGACTGAGAGAGGGAGAAGGCATACTGAAAGAGGGAGAAGGCAGACTGAGGGAGGGAGAAGGCAGACTGAGAGAGGGAGAAGGCAGAATGAGAGAGGGAGAAGGCAGACTGAAAGAGGGAGAAGGCAGACTGAGAGAGGGAGAAGGCAGACTGAGGTACAGAGAAGGCAGACTGAGAGAGGGATCGAGAAGGCAGACTGAGAGAGGGAGAAGGCAGACTGAGAGAGGGAGAAGGCAAACTGAGGTACAGAGAAGGCAGACGGCAGAACAAAGTCAGAGTGGGAAGATGGAAAGAGAGCCAGATTAGATCAGGAATGAAAGTGAGCTAAGATAGAAGGTGCTAGCAATGGTATGCAGAAGTAGGAACTGGAAGTTGGCAACAAAAAATGAAAAAGAAATGAACTGGAAACAGACTTGAGTACTAATTCCCCAGACCGACATCGGTCACATAAGTGTACCATGATATTTGCCTATCGATATCCTTATCACTATTTCATTAGTTTTATATTTTTAGGAACAGATTTGATATGCTAATCAATTTCAAATCTCAAAATATGTTTTAAGGATATTTCCATTGTTTTAGTAGACATTTCCTGTATGAACTGGACTAGGTCATTAGTACTACTGTACTTGGGAAAGAGCTATGGCGGGTTCCTATGCCTATATTTCCCCAATGTTGAGATCGACTAGTGCGCACGTACTACCGTGTACTGTCATAACGCGTCCTCAGGTATTTTTATACAGGTAGCTCTATCAGAATCCCAGCCAAATTCTAGGCCACGGCTATTGATGTATGTGTTTCATGATAAAGTGGAACAAAATGCTTATTTCGCAATATTTCTATGAATTTAAAACAAATTATATGCTGTATGTAACACAAAATTGTACAATCATTACCAGCAAATTTTGAAAGGATTCAATTTTTATTTCTACTGCCTGCGTCATGCTGTTACCTGCTTTCTTACAAAACACACATCTTGATTTTGTTTTTCCTATACCGATGAACGGCAAAAAGTTATATATAACTTTCAAATAGCATGTCTTACACGTGTATTGCGATCCTTACTTTGTGCTGCAGTCTTCCTGCATTTCAAACAAATGAGACTGTCCTCAACGATGAATTTTCCGGTATTTTGGGTAATATATTTGCGCTAATAACAGTGCTTTTTTTTACATGGCCTTTTTTATTCTGACGCAACAAACACACATTTTTTGTGATTCAGAATCATTTGTTTGTGCTTAAATAATAGATAAAACTACTAGTGCCAATACGAGGGTAAAACAATTCATAAAAATGATTTAAAATGATGTCTTATCTTCAAAGCGTAGCTGATAAAATGTTCCATTTATTTGAATTTTTTTTTATTACTTAATAGGGGAAAAGATCACATGCCTAAATATTTTTAAAAAAAAAGGCGGGGGGGGGGGCTGAACATGGATTCAAACTTGCACTGTTCATTTTGTCTGGTCACAAGTTAACTGTGTTACACATACGGCAACATTGGACATAGACGAAGATGGGAATACAAACTATTTTAACCAAAAAATCACCTGTCGCAGTTTAAGAAACTAGCTCACCCTTGTTGTTCATTATTGTTTTTGCATATTACTTAACGGAATCAAAAAGTTTATTCAAAAGTTGATCCTCGGATTTAGGGAAATATGGGCAGTTTTCGGCCATAGCTCTTTCCGGTGCATTTTAATTTTTTCAACATTTTAGCCCTCTTGAATGAGGGCAAATTTATCATTCTGGCAAACATAACAACATGATATATATAGTAATTAAATGTGAAAGGTGAGATTAACACAGGGTGAATTTGGATTTCACAGGCCAAGGGCGAATTTAGTCTGACTGGGTGAAAATGTCCAGCTATACATTATACAGTAAAACTTTGCCTTTCATGCCGAAATTTATGCCTGAGTCATGCATGCCTACATTTTTTTTTATTTCTGAGTTTTTGACAGATAAACTGTTTAAAGATCAATAGTTCGGACATCTTATTACATGTAATTATTACTATTACAGCATCAGGAAAGGACTTATTAGTTACGTTGCTTTATCTGCAACAAACAGACAATATCAATACTGTGTTTTGTATGTAAAAGAAGAATAAGGTCACATGACTACAGCCTTAACAAACTTCTATTCCAATCTATTTTCTGTACATTGATATAGGTCTATTTAAGTCCCTTTGTACCAGAACCAATATTGGCGATACAGAAGATCCTCAACAAAGTCTCCCCATCGGCACTACCTGTGGTAATTGGTATTTTGACTAATGACACTGTGTATCTCTCTGTAACCTGAAGTAAGGCTTCTTCTCCGATCACAAAGTTCAGGCTGAACTGATGATTGGTCAGAACTGTGTTTGTGATCTGATGAAAGGTTAGGGGTATCGTAATCACCATTATGTCATGATAAAAATGTTCCTATTTACAAGTACTAAATACTTTATAGTGATTCAAATTGTGAGTGAAATTCAGGCCAACCCCCCCCCATTTTTCGACAAAAATATAACGAGAGGCCTGACTAAAAGGGCCTGTATATTGCTCACCTGGATATTTCAGCAATCATGACAAGCTATTCTCAATAAATGTCATACTGCAAGAAGAAGCTCTTTAAAAGCTCTACCACAATAGGCTTTGTTATTCCACTCTCAGATCATTGTATAATCATGTAGCTGTCTGTTAGATAAATATGAGTTATACACCACACGTGGTATATGACCTTCCAGAGTTTTGATTGGTCGAGAAGATGAACTTTGACCGAGACGACTTTTTCCAAACGCTTTTTGCCACGTGCTGCTTTGTTTACGTCGTCTGCTGTCATCATCCGGCAAATATTGGTGATTTTGTGTGGTTATGCGGAAAAGGGGGTTATTAAGGCAATATTAAAAGATGATGACACTTAAAGATTTGATCGCTAGTTCCAGGCAAAATTACTACAGATGCTCGATATCGTTTCGACGTCACACTGTCGCGTGTCCAGGTTGTGAAACCAAAACAAGATCTGTCACAGTGTCGGAAAATATTTCATTCTCCCAAAGTCCTGTTATCGCTATTTAGACGGTCTGACTATGGCTGAACTTTCACTATAAACGTCAACCATAGAACCTCACGAAGAAACATCCCAGGCCTATGGTCTTGGACATTGACAGCGATTAGTTCGACTTCATCACTTGGCAGGAGGCAGACTTCGTATGATATGCGTACGCGCATATAGTCTGCGGTTAATTTATATAAATTTATGCAATACTGCATACTCTCAATACTTAAAGAGGTTCATATACTATAATTTTTTCATGAAGTTGTTTCCAAAACATTTATTTTGACAATTATTGAATTTGTGAAAAAAAGAAGTAATTTTTGAATATTAATGAGTGATTTTTTACATATGGGTCATATCACTATGCCAGCCTTGTCAACAAACACATGTGTGTATGCTATTCAAATCAGGTCACAGCTGTTTCCGACTGAGATTATGGTAGAAACAGATCACACAACTCGTGGTTGTTGAGTATGCCATTTATTTCACTCTCGTTAGTTAATTTTCAAAAGTTACAGAAAGACACTCGCTAAAGCTCGTGTCTTTTGAAACTTTTGAAATGTAACTAACTCGAGTGAAATAAATACCATATTCAACAACCACTCGTTGTGTAACCTCTATTTAACACATTTGACCCTTGTGACCTTGAAAGTAAATGAAATTCATATAAACTTTATAGCACTCCATCTTAGCTATTGGCCGAATAACATTACTGTAGACCTTTTCGTCATCTAGAAGAAGTTGTTTATAGTCCTTAAACCATATTTGACCCTTGCTACCTTGAAAGTAGGTCAAGGTCACTTATTTGTGGAAATCAAATCATGCCACAGGTCAAATACCATCACCCTGAATCTCCTGGTTATTCATGATTAGAAGAAGTCATCTTAAAGTTTCTACATATTTGACCCCTGTGACCTTGAAAGTAAATCAAAGTCATGCATTTATTTGTCATTTTCATGAGGAAACTGGGCAAAAATCATTCAAAGAAAAAGTTGACTGATGAATGACAAATAACACGCCATACAAACTACAACGATATAAGATTTTAACTTCATAATTTTTTAGTTTAAAAGGAATTTTTCGTCACATCATATGTGTCTTGGACAAGTTTTCGAGTCTCAATATGCAACTTTTTGATCATGTTTTAAAAAATTCCAACTATAAATTCTATGGATGTTAAATGAATTTAAAAAAAAAAAAAAAAATACAAATTGGGTCAGTTAAAGTCATATGGCTTCCTTGCATAATGTAATCAGTTCGTAATTAGTTAAAAATCAATCAATTTGCCAGCACATCGAAATAAAATTACAAAAGTCCTCGGCTTAATTATATTGATGCCTAATGGGAATTTTGACTCCTTATTACTCTTCTGGATCCTTCGCAAACTTAAAATTTACATTTCTTCAATTCAAGAAGATTACAGCAACACCCTTATTTTCATTGTGCAATAGATTGACTTGGTTGTTGTTGGAATGAAAATTACAATGATTTTTTTTTATAGTATTAAGATAATTTAGAAATCTTACTTACTGGAACACCGTTTAAAGAATAATTATATAACAATTAGCCTTGACTTTCATCTATATTTTGTTATCCTTTTTAAACGAAGTATAACTTATCAATTGAATCAATTATCATACACGGCAAAATCAATAGAACATGTACAATGTACCTGTTAATTAAATTTTGTATTGAACAAACTTGAGATCTCAATTTTGAAGGTCACTCTCAAACTCAGTTAAGGATCCCTGTCCCACTGTACTGCCATTTTTCCTATACAGAGTAACCTCCCATTAACTTCCGATTCAACGTAACTGCAGCAGATTTGGGCTAGTATATACTTTTATTGACCAGATAGCTCAATCGATTACAGCAACAATATAACGATCTGAAGTCCAGGGTTCGAATCATGGTCTTGCCCACTGATTTTTTTACACTCAGAACTCTTGTTGATTATATTGTGCTGATTTTAATCTCTTTAATTTTTCATAAACATCCTGCAAGGTATATATATGCTTTCTCTTCAGAAATGATTTATCAAAGCTATAGTTCTGCCAGATGTTTTTAATACTAAATAGTATTACGGGGATCCTTCAGCGATAATTGAGCAATGCTGCTTTGAGCGTTGAAAGTACATGTCATAAAATTTATTAAAGCAAAAGCACAAAAATCTGTTCAGTTATTGCTAATTAGTTTGGTTATCATTAAAACTGCTCAATATGATGAATGTGTGGAAGTATGAAAAAATTACTTACAATTGGCAGAAGTCTTGTGGGTATGGAGGAAATGTTAAGAAACTGGACACGTAATTGAATTGTTCGTTTGTCACTCACTTATGACAAGATACTGGTAGATGAATATTCAGTACAACATTGAACTTGAATAAATGTACTTACTTGATCTTTGGTTTTTGATGAAATAAAGCTGTAGTCGTTCTTTAAGTGATTTTTCATTGGTGAAGAACTCAACTCGCACTCTGAAAAATATAAACCATTGCAACTATATTAGAAAAAAATCATTACAACGGTGTGAAAATTAATTTACAAACTCCTTACACAGGAATGTGGAATACAAACTTTCTGACCTATTTTCTGCTGCTGAAAAACAAGTTTGTACAGGGTTCAAGTGTGATGCTGATAGATATTTATCACATGACTACCCTGTTATGAGTGTACTAACACCAATTACATACAGTGTACATTTTGTTATGACCACACATGTAATAACACCTTGGAGGGTTTTGATTGGTCAGTCTATTCACATTTTGTGTGTGTTAATGCGCGTGACTAGTCTGTAAACAGAACTACGTTTATTCACTACAGTCGTAGTAAAACAAAATATGTCTACTTTCACAATCACTAATCTGGTCGGTATAGACAACAGTTGGCTCGCAAATATCATACTTGTTAAAGGGCCTAACGAATACACAGTGTAGGTGGACAGAGTTGATTTTGAGATTGATATGCCAGGAAACCATCTGAAACTGGCATCTGTCAAGTCTGGAACTATAAGCCTACAATTATATGTTACCGGGAATACCAACCAAATCATGCAGATAGCGGGTCATAGAAATATACAATCTGTAAATATTTACAGTCAAATTAACTCTGATCAGCACTAGATCATTTCACGCAGACTCTCGCCTAAACACAATGTCAACAGAACCAGTCTTGTTACAATACTGCGGTCAAAATTACAGCCACAAACACGGCCTTATCAATGAATATTCTGGGAGGACACAATGTTTGGTGGTAAGTGCAGTGTACGGAGGACGACCACTTCCTTCACATCAATGTGGTTCAAAAAGACCTTGATTTTGTACTTGCACCCGCTATGACACAGCTTTCTGCTGAGACGTGAGGTCACTTTTTAGGTCGCTGTGTTAAAATACATTGTCTCACTTCTACAAAGACGTTTTTTCAATGTAAGTTTATAAAGTTAAACCAAAGCTGTCAGTTTAAATAATAAAATGAGTTAATACTACTGTCAAATTATGTACAGATTTGGAAACTATATTCATCGCATTCCGTAGAATGATATTCTTTTAGCAGTTATTCAGTTACTATTGATAGAGAAGGAATTAAAAAATGGGTTTAAAATTTAAGTTTTGTCAATTTTGTTATGTCATGTGATAAACAGAATCTCACATGAGTTTCCATTTGATATGAGATTTATGAAACTCATTAAGAATGTTTTAATTTTGCTTGGCAGAGCCTTGAAAAATTAACACATTCTCAACTTGTTTCATGGAAACTCATGTGAGATCCTCTATTTATGTAATATTTTTGTTTGAAAACAAAATAGAATGTGCAAGGTTTGAATAACTGTTTGCCATGATAACAGTTCAACTGATGGCACAAAATCATCCGTTCACATCTTATACATGTATGTCAACAGTTTAAGCAATAATTCACTTGCTCATCTCAGAGAGAACGGTTTAACAAATGATCACATACTCATCATCTCTGAACCATTCATTGAACCAATGATCCCCCTGCACATACACGTATAGAGTCAATGTATTGACCATTGGCACAGTAACTTAATCATTTATAGTATCATATAACTTGAGCTCAGATTTTGAACCCGCGGCCCAGTGGTGGAGGGCTAGTGGAAGTAGAATGTCAGACACCTTAACCACTTGTCCTCCGCTGCCCCATATATAAACATTGACAAAACATGATTAATATTTTTTATTCACATGTATTGTAAATATACCCATGTGTTAAAATTCTTTTAAAGTAACTTGTTTGTACACTAGGTAATTACTTGTTAAATGTCATTTACCTCCATGCTGAAGCTTTTATCAAAACCTGCCTCAAGGATATTAACAGGTGATATATAGTTACAATTTACAATACGAAATGATATTTTCAAGTATATGTTAGGTGTATTGATAGTACATATATATTGTAGTCGGTGATCAGGATCGTGGTTAAGTTCCATTTACACAATCTTTGAAACTCTTGCACCTTCTAGCGCTACAACTGCACTCTAAAAGCTTTTTATAGAAGGAAGCTTATTATATAGACAATACACAGTGGTCCCAGTATCAAAGCTTTCATCTCATCCATTCCAGAAAAGCATTTTGTGCTTAACTGTGAGTTTCCTTTGTTTCTTTTTGTGTGCTTGTGGGGATTTTCTGTGCAATAACCTATTTGTGAGGTATCCTATCATTGAACTTTATGTGACTCGATTTCCTGTACAATAACCTATTTGTGAGGTATCCTATCATTGAGCTTTATGTGAGGATTTCCTGTACAATAACCTATTTGTGAGGTATCCTATCATTGAACTTTATGTGACTCGATTTCCTGTACAATAACCTATTTGTGAGGTATCCTATCATTGAACTGTTTGTGCCATGGAACTGTTTGTGGGGATTTTCTGTGCAATAACCTATTTGTGAGGTATCCTATCATTGAACTGTTAGTGGGGATTTCATGTGCAATAACCTATTTGTGAGGTATCCTATCATTGAACTTTGTGTGAGGATTTCCTATGCAATAACCTATTTGTGAGGTATCCTATCATTGCACTGTTTGTGGGGATTTCCTGTGCAATAACCTATATGTGAGGTATCCTATCATTGAACTGTTTGTGAGGATTTCCTGTGCAATAACCTATATGTGAGGTATCCTATCATTGAACTGTTTGTGAGGATTTCCTGTGCAATAACCTATATGTGAGGTATCCTATCATTGAACTGTTTGTGGGGATTTCCTGTACAATAACCTATTTGTGAGGTATCCTATCATTGAATTGTTTGTGGAGATTTCCTGTGCAATTACCTATTTGTGAGGTATCCTATCATTGAACTGTTTGTGGGGATTTCCTGTGCAATAACCTATTTGTGAGGTATCATATCATTGAACTGGAAGGATTGAGTTCATCAGAATCATTGTATGTTATCATGTCAGTCACTCAACATTAACAAGACCCCTGTTTCCTGCTGTATTCATAAAAAGTGAAAAGTGCTGCTTCGTATCCCAACACGAGGGTAAAAACCGGTTGTTTAAAAAATACACAACAAAGGTAAAACTGTTTTTTGTACATCGACGTCAGAATTACTGCGATGTTGCATAACATGTACTGAGTTTTTGAAAAAAAATAGCATTGAAGGTTACATGAAAGACCAGAACACAGATTCTCAATTAATTGTGTAAGATCTATAAAATGATGAAACAATGTTGTGACGTTAGCATGCTGATTGTACTGGCACCCTCAAGATGGCTTCTCCCATTTTATCCAATAATAATCACACTTGTTCGTAGGTTGAGGTTAATTTGTAAAGATTGTCATTCTCTGTGATATTATGGTATCACACGACAATCGAGAGACTGCAAGTCTGAATTAAATTGCAACACAATGACAACAATGTTGATTTGTCTGAGATTAAACCTTGTGACAACTCACATAATACCTTATAATACAAACATCACCAGGCACATGTGACATCTATCAGGGGAAATCGTAATAATCAAATGCATTGATGAGGTAAAGCACCACAAATCTACAGATTGATGTATTGATGAGGGGGAGGGCAGGGGGGATGAGAGGGGCGGGGGCACCACAAAGTTACCAGGGAAATTGTTATAATCAAATATATTGATGAGGGAGGGCACCACAAATCTACAGATTGATGTATTGATGAGGGGTAGGGCAGGGGGGATGAAAGGGGGGGGCACCACAAAGCTACCAGGGAAATAGTTATAATCAAATATATTGATGAGGAAGGGCACCACAAATCTACAGATATATGTATTGATCAGGGGTAGGGCAGGGGNCGTAGTAATCAAATATATTGATAAGGGAGGGCAACACAAATGTATAGGTAAGGGCAATGTACAATCTGTCAAGAGATCATTAACAAGAGGTCCAAGGGCCTTAGCGGCCACCTGAATTATATCATAGGTACTGGTAGCTTTATTTTATTGTTTAGATGTGATGTGGAAATCAGCATGTAAACTAAGTGAAATACAATACTCATCATGTCATCAAAGGATAATAATTTTAAAATATTGGTTAATGTTTCCTTTGGGGCCCCGCCCTAGCCCCTGGGGATGGGACAGGAATTCCTATTTTACACTGTAATACCCTCATCCACCAAAAGATGATTCTGACGAAGTTTGAATAATTTTCTGCTGAAAATGGATAAAATATACCCAAAAGTGTTATTTCCCTATATAAACTATAGTAAACTTTACCCCCTCCCTAAGCGGGAACGGATGGCTTAGGGGTTCTGAAAATGACAATTTCAATAAAGCTCCTGATGATCTTTCTATCCATGCACTGAAATTGACTGTAGAAGATTTTTGAAATATTGGTAAATTTTCCCTTTTGGGCCCGCCCTGGCCCCTAGGGTTGGGGTAGGAATCCCGATTTTATATTTTAAAACCATCTTTCTCCAAGGATAATTCTCACCAAGTAAGAATAATTTCCTAAAGAAAATTGTCGAAATATACACAAAAGTGTTACTTCCCTATATAAACTATAGTAAACTTTACCCCCTCCCCATGGGAGAAGGGATAGCTTGGGGGTCCTGAAATTTTCAATTTAAATAAAGCCCCTAATGGTCTTTCCATCCATGCAGAGAAAATGACTGTAGTATCTCCCAGTCTGGAGAAGAAGATTTTTTAAATATTGATTAATTTTCCCTTTGGGTCTCACCCTGGCCCCAGGGGTTGAGGTATAGGAATCCCAATTTTACAATTTTGTAGCCTCATCTACCAAGGATGATTCTGACCAAGCTTGAAAAAAATCCATCCACTGGTTCTTGAAAAGAAGTTGAAAATGTGAAAAGTTTACACACGACGCATGACGGACGACGGACGGCGATGGACGGAAAGTGATCGGAATAGGTCACTTGAGCAAAGCTCAGGTGACCTATAAAGTAAACAGTAAACATGTAAACAGGTTGTTTTTAATTCAGGTTGTTTTTTAATTCAAAAATTAAACTTTCTCTCCTTACTGGCA